TACTAGAGCGCTAAGCAGCAATGTTGACTCACTCCAAGAAGAGGTTATGGACAGGGATAATATAGAAGAAAACTGAAATAATGAAAGGATATGTAGCCTTGTTTTTTGTAGTATTGCGTGAACAGTTAATCGGATAGACTATGAGGATTCTCATTGTCCTTCAATAGGAGAGGCCAGGGCAGAATTCACATAAAAATCGAAGGTCCTATCTTTGACAACATGTTAGTATTCATCCTTTAACAAAGGCCAGGTATACTTGGGAATTGGCTTGACGGGTTGTTTTCTTGAACTTCACATTTCTTTGGCAGCATAATTCAGCTTGCATGAGACCGATATCAGACAAGAGTGATTATCAGCTGATATTTCTCCGCTCGAAGCCTTCTAGAAGCTTGATTCGCATCTGGTGTCTCACTGCATGAATCGTCAACCGTGCATTGGCCACACATAGTGACATCCATGTTGGGTGATTCGTTCTGGCGCTAAAGTGTGCACAAAAAACTACTGGGTAACCGTCGGCTTGGAGACACCGTTCGCGACCTGGTATAGCCCAATTGACGCGGCAGCACACGCATACCCTCATTTGGATATTGGTTATATCAGATCATGAAAGGAAATGGAGTTCTCGGCTCTTCATAAATAAGTAGAAGCAAACGCAGAGCAAAAACATAGTAACATAGTGAGGGAATGGGCTGATGGGTAGGTATCAGATAATACTTGCGTGTGAGGAACAGGAAATACTTCTTTGAATAATGGCCCAGGATACTGGGAGAGAGTACATACGGCCCACTGGGCGCTTGTCTTGGACTGGCAATTGAATCAAAATCAAGCAATTGCTAAATCCGGCAATGTGTCAAATCCCAAGTGTCTAAGTGTCACCCTAAACTTCCGCTCCAGCAGTACTTACAGCCTCGAAGAGGGACCCTAACTTCGTTTCACATATCGATGTTCAGGGGTTGTCTTGAAGGTTGACGATTAACGTCAAGATGGAGACAGACCTTTTACCGCCCTTTCATCCATGCAGTTCTCGATACTTCTCAAGAACACCTCCTAACCAGATGTAGACCAGAAAGTACTGCGCATTAGCTGTTTTTTAGAAGCGCTATAACAGTAGGCTGTAAACCCTTGCTGTACGACAATGTACGCATGAATATATTGCAATCTACAAGACTGCCGCACCACCATCGGCATACCGAAATCTGTTGTACTACCAATATTCTCAGCATGGCCCTGACTTGAAACCATCATAACAGCCAATATATGTTCACAGGAGGATTGTCGACCTTGTAACCTATGAGTTGACGCTGGGTTCCCCAAGCATTTCTTGAGCTGTAAACCAGCAGGTATACAAAAAAAAAAAAAAAAAAGAAGAGAAAACGGTAGATTAGTGGAAAAAAACAAAGATTAGGAACAAATCAAGATTGAACGATGCCGACATACAGGAGTGCATTGCAGTACGCTTTGGCAGTTGGAGCTCTTACATCTGTGCCAATCTAGCATATTCATACCCAAAACTGGCATACCGGTGAATATAGAATCTCAACTGGAGCTGGTTGGATTAGCTGAGGGTTCTCGATGGTGATATCATCTCAGGCGGATACTGACATGCAACGAAACTTGATATTACTCTGGAGCTGAAGTTACGAGGAAATGCTTCCCCAAAAGCGTTTGGGATCTCCTAGTCTGGTTTGAACCTCCAGATTGTAAATGTAGTAAGCACTACAACGGCATGCATGTAAGGCCTAGAAAATTGAATTCTTGTGAGAAATGCTTGGATGCGTCAAAGATTCGGCCTTGCTTCTCAAAAAAATGTGTCCAATTGGTTCAGCTCGGTTTTTATGTAGTCTCGGCACCGTTCCTCTCATCAAGTTTGCAGTCAAGCTAGTCTAGTTGCGCGAAGCATCAACATTATCCAATTACCTTTTATTTATTACATAGCCTTTTTGGGCTAACGAGATCAGAATTTCATCTTATCGTATATCTTTATTCCTATTACTCGCGCATGTTTTTCAGAAAGACAGCTATTGAGCTCACCTCGAACTTGCTATGTCATATTATATATCTCACGACTTCACAAGGGCAAACCTTTATGTGCCGTTGATTACAAGAGTTTTCCACATATTTCTCAAATCAAGATTTCCTACTTGCTCGGGTTCTCGGATACACCGAAAACGTGAAAGCCCACCAAGCAAGTATTCGCTCAGAAGTCCCGGATATTCCTTGTTTTATCGCAAAACGTAGCAACATCAAACTAAGGCCAACTGTCCCTTCAGTATGAAGTTCTGTTTGTAGCCTTATCCATATGGTAAGAGTTCTTGCGTAGCTATCGATACAATACAGCTTCGCTTGCACATCACGCGCACGACACCGAGGGCTGTTCGGCTGGCAATCTGGCCCGCTTGGAACACTGTCCACTTCCTGGTTTCAACTTCATCACATGAGGAAGTTGAACCTTGCTTGGTATGGTGGTCCATGGGACCATTATTGTGTTAAATTGAGCGGTATGTATGGAAGAATTATCATTCTATCATACTCTACTCCATCGAGCGTAGATTAGTTTTGCCCAGCAGAATTGCGCAGGTGGCTCCTGTCCTCCCTTTAGCGCTAGTTTCCAAGTTAAACTGCGGAACAATGCCCGTGCACTGGTGCTGAAATACAAACAGTTCCCTCGAACCTATATCCCTTTCTTTTCTGAGCACTGCAATGATAGTGGGTTCAAATCGGAATGGACCACAACCCTGCGAACCACGTGGGTGGAATCTACATACATACTGTCCTTAAGGCAGACTGACTGACATGGTTCTGGTGGGTAGGAATTCCGCCGCTAAGAAGTAGCACCCGCAGTCTGCTTGACTGGCAGACGCTTAGGACATTTCTTTGCTACTACACTAAACCCTTCATAGAAGTATGATACCGTAAGCCGTCCCTCTGGTTTGCAATTGCATCACTCCTCGTCCAGAGCTTGGGTCTCCCATAGTTGAGCTCAATACATAGGGCGGCTGCTCGAGTGCGCTCTCTTAGTATCATCATACTTGCGTTGCCTCACCTCTCTGCTCTGAATGCTGCACTGCAATGAGGGGGCGCTAAGTTTGCTGCACAGCCAGAACATTCCCATTTGCCCTTGTCTTTCGTTTCCTGTGACGACGGGTGTTTGGAGGGGTGCAGGTCGTATAAAAACTAGAAATGACAGACGACACTACCGGATGGTAGCCCGCTCCTTGGGATGGGTATATTAACACGAGACGACTGTATTGTCGGCAGAGAGGCCGAGAGGATGTCACTGCTGTGAGGACATGGATGTCACAGACTCCCTGCCTTCCCCTACCTAGTATCGTTTCATACTGGGAAGATCCTTGGTACGAGAATCGGGCACGAAATACTGACAAATTGGCTGCCAGCGATCAATCACTAAGGCCAAGAACTAGGGGTTGTCACTGACTTACTGGGAATAACTACAGTACCGGAGAAAGCACTCCAGTGACATTTAGCAGGTGCCATGGGGAACTCCATTTTTTACCCTTGAGAAATTTAGTAAGTAATGCGAATTACCACAAACTTATGCCTCTACACATCACTGCATACGCGTATCGACTTTTTAATCTTTTGCAACATGTCTCATCTAATTCAAGAAGCTATAGTACAACAAAAGCTTAGGAGCGATGTAAAAACTATCATGATGCTTATGATTCTTAATTGACGCGTGATGAACCCATAAAGAGGATATGTATGCATTATTTGTATTTGTAGATGCATCTCAATGTTGACATGATCGGGATGTGAATACGCGGGTGATGCATATGGTACGAAATACTGCGGGTGTACGGAGTATGCAGCAAAGTAGGCTACCAACTGAGCACTACTTACCAGAAGAGCCTACTACCAGTCAAATTTGACTGGTAACAGGCCGTCCAACAAACCAATGAACGAAGGGGCCAAGGCACTAAAAGTGCCTCAGTTAGTAGCGGTACTTTCTGGTAGTCATTCCCAGTAAGTCAGTGACAGCCCCTACTGATTGGGCCATTACTCAGAGTATGAGGACAGACTGAGTGAAGTTATACCCAAAACCATCACTGGTTAAAGTCAGAAGCGGTTTGAATTCTTGCGTTTTGACCTGGCAGCCAAGAGATGTCAGCCAAACTTAGAGGCGGTGGGTGTAAGTAAGACAACAAAATGTAAACAAGTCAACAAGAATGAGCGAAAAGAAAGGGCCCTAACCCGGAGTCGAACCGGGGACCTCTCCCAAATCAAGGCTTCTTAGAAGCCCGAGCTGTAACCCGAAGGGAGAATCATACCTCTAGACCATCAGGGCGAGTTGCATACAAATTTCCTTTTTAAGTACTTTTACAGCCCCTAGCAGATGCCTACAAGTAGGAAATTCATCTTTTACCCATTTTCAAGTGTTAGAGAGATCTAAGGTGGATATATTTGATAAATGACGGTTGACGCCTCAAACGAGTTCAACTGAGGTTACCAAAATGCAAAATAGTTGCTCTGAATTAGTCATAATCGCTAAGAATAAGGTGGATACTGTACAACTAGAATGGCGGATCAACAATTTGATGGGTTTCCCTTGGGTAGGACCCACATATAAGCTGTGCTTGATTTGCTATCGGAGTACCCGTACAGGATGAGCCCGTAAGGTAGAAGAATTTTCGATATATCTCATGAGAATGAGATACATAATTATTTGAATTAACCAAGTGCAAGTGCAAGTCATCACATCGCATTTGACTAAACGAACCAGAAAACCCCATGATCTCCATCTGTGACATTATGGGATTACCTATGTTTGAGATTTATAGGTGTGTTGAATTGAACAGCACGAGTGAGGTTGCAATGTGACTTTGCGTTACCTCTTCTTAAGTCTATCTAGTGGCCTTTAACTCTCTGGAAGAAAGAGGGATAAAACATTGTTCCATTGAACACAATCATCGAAATTGTCAGAGGGCGCTTGTCTAATATTCCCTCTCCCCGGCATATAACATGTCAATGACTTGCAGTATTGGTTACCAGATTCAGTACAGCCAATGATCCGAGGACCATCAAACTCTATGTACTTTTCCTTCCACAGAAGCTTGCTCAGACTATTTCATCATCCCCTGCAGAGTCTCCATCAGCATTGAAATATGTACTTCGAGTTCTCACTCGTGTACTTTGCCTTGTAGCTTGACGCTTTCCAGTTGAATTTTGCAACACGTCAAATCTAGCTTTCTTTTCAGGAATTGCATTGTCCATGGGGGTCTTTTGAGTTGCTCTTGGATTGCTGGCACGAATTGTGTTCATCGTATTGCTTACAAGCCGGGATCCGGCGGAGCGGGACAGGTTGTCAACATCCATACTCTCTGAAGCATTGTGTACATGTCCACAGGAGTTTTTATGTGACCCATTGCTACCAATAGTTGTCCGATTCAAACGTGGCGAGGGGCTCAAGTTCTGGCCTCTTGATTGATCTGTATCCGCGAAAAATGCGCTGTCTTCATCATGAAGGTTTCCGATGTTTGAAATTGTAGTTCTAGTATTTCGTTTTGGTAGCATATCGTGGGAAGACGAATGAAGCAAACTTCTGCATCGCAACGAAATTGGCTGTAACGGTTCATTCAGATCTTCAAATCTTCGGTCTTCCTGAGTTTCCATCACTTCCTCCATATTTAAATCTGAGAGTTGATATCGCTGATGGAGATCATCATCCTCTCCTCTGAGAAACCCACCTTCGTTATCAATATTTCGCGCCAGATAATGGTAGGCCTGTTGATCATGTAAGTACGATCCATGCTTGGATTCCATATACTTGTGTTTCTCGGGATTGCTTTCAGATTGGACTGCCATGGCATGAGAGTCTCCTCGCTCATTTTCGCTTCCATATTCTTCTCTGAGCCGCTTAACAATTCGAATTCCCATCAGAAACTTTCTCCATAAAGCGAGTGCTGCTTGTTCTCTTTTAACATTTTCTTTTCTCCTCTTTTCCTTTTCATCAGCTGTCCAAGCATCTCTCAATAGCCCTTCATATTCAGCAGCCACGACTATTCCTTCAATAACTGGCATCGCGCGTTGCTCTGTATAGAGTAATTTAGTAGCTGATTAACACGAACATATGGAATGTAAATGAATACTTTTGAATTCGAATCCTGTCACCGCATCTGCGTAGTCAATACCCAACTTTTTTGCTATTTTTCCTGAACCCTTCAAAGGTAAATGAGTACATCCATTGGGAATCATAGTCGAAACATATACGTCGCAATTTCCAAATGCATTTCGGGGAACTTTCCCATCCTTTAGTGGTGGAGGTTCATAAAGCCTGGTCATATTCGTATGAGTCTTAAAGAACTTTGAGGAGCATAGTTCTTGAGAAAAGACAAGCAGCTTGAAACATACTTTGTTTGGTCAAAGCTATAAAGTCCCTGTTGGATAGGACTATTATCTGCCGCTGCCTTTTCTAGTTCCCGCTTACGATTCAGGGTAACGGCACGTGTTTTGACTCGTTTCAATGGTTGTTCACCCTGCTGTAAAACAGTCAGTTTCTACCTGTTTTGGATACAGTAAATGGGATAGTACCTTAACTATACGTCCTTCCCTGTACCAGTTTTCTATGGTTTTGCAAATGGCTATATCCTTCCTTCGGTAAATTTTCTCCTGTTTGGCTTTCTCTCCCTTCCCTATAGTCAACAGTCTAACATGACTCTTCCCGGGTTTCACTGCTTCTTCTCGTTTCAAGTGACGTTCAAGCACAAACCTAACTTGAATTATCAGTGGACATTCAGTGAAGGTATAATTGGCGATAGGTGTACTCTGGATTATTCTTGTATGCTGTGATGCTCTCAACGTTTACAGGCCTTTTTACGTTCTACAGCAACCCCCTCCAGTAATTCATCTTCGTCCTGGTCCGCCTCATTTTGAGGGTAATCAGGTTTTGAGTACGATCGCATCACCGACCGGAACCAATCGTACTTATAATCCCTGATAACAGAGCCATGGCTGTCCTTGATAGAATAAATTGTGGGTGCAACCCGAAATCCTTTCGTCTTCCCAGGCACAATATTGTTGCTGAGATATCGAACTGTCACATCTTTCGCCGTGAAATCCGATGAATATCCGACAACATAGCAAATTACTTGCCTAGAATTTTCAGCTAGCTTTCCCTTGGGTTCTAATTGAAACGCCATCTCAGGGCGAAAGTAGACTTTGGTGGTAACAAGCGCATCAACGGGTATCCAACAACCTGTGCCAGGCGAAAAGACTTCGGTCCAGAATATAGGGTAGTAAAGATCCTTGTCAAATCTGTTCGACTCAATTTCTGAATATTGTTAGGCGCGTTGACATATACTACTGGTACATCGTACAAACACTTACTCTTGATTCCTACGCTTCCTTTCTCCTTTTCCAAATCGACTTCAGATTCGCTATCGTCAGTATTATGGAGATTCAATTTCTCTGTGCCTGCGGAAAGTTTCCGTTTCTTGCGAGCAGGAATTTTCTCAGTGACATTCTTTTGTATGGTCGTCACATTTGATATATTATTTTCATTGGAATGGACCGTATTGCTATCTTGCGATCCAGTCCTTGGGGTTGCCATCTCGTTTGCATGAAAACTAAACCCTATTGGCTGGAAAGAGAATATCATTCTCGCCTTCAGACCTAATGCTCTCAACAAGGCAGTGAAAAGCTGTGCTCCAACATCACGGCTTCCCTCCAACTTCATAGCCAGATTTCTATAAACATTTAGATTTGTAATCCTTTCCCCCGCTTCAGCAGGAGCTTCTGCATTCTCGGAACTTTCATTTGCTGAAAGCATGTGGTTCAGATCAGTCAATGTCCTGTACCCATATTTACGAAGGCCTGGAGCAGTGACTCTGAATCTTTTCTTCCAAAAATGTATCAAAACACCCAGTAAGTGAATTAAAGGATCAATAGCCCCGGAGTTCGGCTTGCTCGAATCCAGATTGGCGACATTGGTAGTCTCCTTGCTTTTCTCCTTGCGCTTGCCCTTCTCCTTTGCCTGCTCTTTGGCCTTCTGGCGATGTGTGATATCAGCTTGCTTTTGTAAGTATTGGTACTTCTCTATCTGTGCTGATACTCCAGGTGCCAAATGACTCAAAAGAATAGCCTGCAATTCTTCGTCCTCCAACCACGAATTCCTCCTGAACCCTGTATTTGTTTCTATCATAAGCCAGAGCCCTCCCTTCTCTGAATTTATAGACTCTCACCATGATATAACAAGAACTGGACGTGTAACTTGTGACATGCCATTCGTATCTGCCTTTCAATTGCAGAAATACCTTTCTTCCCTGTACTAAATATGGGAGGTTTAGTTAGGTTTGTGGGATATTCAAAGACGTTAGACTTACGTCGAAAAGGTTGAGGTATTGTTATCCAGTGTAATCTCCAAATCCCCAGAAGCAGATGATGGTATTGTTCCAGTGAAAGTCCTCGGCTCAGTTGCATTATGTAGACAGTTTTCCCAATCCTCATCGTCCGATTCGAAATCACTACTTTCCATGTACGAAGGCAGAGGGGTAAGCTCTGAGATATCTGTATCTGTATCTGATTCTGTATTAATCATTCTGCTTCTTGAGATCTTTATGTCTTCTCTTCAGTGGTATGGAGGTTTATGGCCGCTTTGTGTGGTGGCAGTGCTGATTTGGCCTCTTCTTGAGATGGTCCGCTCTTTGTAATAGCATCCTTGAGCTTCTAATGCATTCCCACGCGTGTCGTGTGTACTCCGAGATGAGCTTTGTGCCGAAGGATCAATTATTCTTGGCGGTGGCATAAGCTGTGACATCTATGACTTCACTGCTCGGCACATCTCTCATTACGATGTAGTATGTATGATAGCTGCCTGTCTACTTTAACCTCCGTTGCAGCTTCAAAGAAACTCTATTTAGGTGTTTTACCATTCTAAGCTCTCATTAATCTCAAGCCATTGCTACCTGGCCATATACTCATCTGTCCTAATCTGGATGTTGATAGGTTAAAGGATTTTCTGGCGTGTGATCCCATTCTAGTCTTTCACCTTAACAATTCTATCTTACCTACTATCCCACTCCCAGTGACGGCCAAGAAGACGTGAGGCATGTAAAGAAGACCGAGCCTGATACCACTAGGCCGGGCGACGTAGCAAACATTTAGAAAGAGGGAATAAAATGCTAGAATTTACGTACAGCAAAAAACTAATATAGGATGCACCGGTTCTAACTAACAACGAAGAATATTGCAACTGGAGCATTACAGTTCATCTTTTAGGAAAGATATTGGACAACCCTCTCCCTCAGATCGGATTCGAACCGAGATTCTTAATTCTATACCTCTCCCTGG